TGATAAGGAGGATGTCAGTTGCCTGCACAGCATCCTAGTTTGACCCTCCCATGTTCCTCTCCATCAGAGCTGGGGACACATTAGCTCAGTGATGGAGAAAAATTGAGGGAGAAGAGAAACATTGGAATACTAGTCAGTACCAGTGTGCAACAGTGTAATTGCTTTGGAAGAATAAATCACCTCTAATGCTGGGTGTCCTACATGTGTGGATGTTGCTGCGTTATCAGGGGCGGACTGACGATTTGGAAACTCAGGCACTGCCCGAGGGCCCGGGGTCAGTAGGGGACCCCATGAGATGCCCCTGGTACCTTTTTCATAGGCTTTTTTGAGTTTGGGCAAGGACACAGGGGCCCCATGATCCCCTACTGCCCGGGGGCCCCATGAGTTGTCAGTCCGCCCCTGTACGTTATATAAAAATTATTAGAATAGTTTTTTCACATTTTAGAATGGGGTACCTCAAGACTGTCCATAATTTTAAAGGGTGCCTTGACTGAAAAAAGGTTGAGAAACACAGACTTACGGAGATGATATGATATATGCCAACAATACCATACTTCCTAGACCAATAATCCTATTTGGTATTAGTTGACTTGCTAAAACTAAACTACAAGCAGATATATGTTAGTATTTGAATTTACCTTAGTATCAGTCTTTTGAAAAGCTTGTACAGCAGACCTCAGACTGGGGTAGGAAGAAAAAGCCCAAGGAGCCAATCAAATATGCCGCAGTGCAAGAAGGAGAGAGCAGGTGACAGAAAGAAAAGCTTATCAGTGTGCTGCTTCTCCTCTCACTGTCCATTCATGGGCTGGGGGGGGGGGGGGCAAGACCTGTACATACAGTATTGTTCAACTGCAGCAGACAAATATCAGGTCTCATGTCCTTCCAGACTAAGTTGTGCTTTGTGGTAGATATAGAACTGGATGGACAGAAATACAAGTCATCTGGTTCAATGGAGTTGATTGACTAAAACTGGAGAGTGCAAATTCTGATGCAGCTCTGCATAGAAACCAATCAACTTCCAGTTTCTGTTTTTTCTTTTTCAAAGCTAAATTGAACAAGCTAAAGTTTTAAGCTGATTGGCTACCATGCAAAGCTGCAGCAGATTTTGCATGCTTCAGTTTTAGTAAATCAACCCCAATGAGTTCAGCGGGGAGGGAGAGAGAAAGCAGCAACGTTGCTCTTGGGCACATCACTGGATCAAGATTGAGCTCAGGTACAGGTGCAGAGATTACATTAAAGCGGAGCTCCACCCAAAAGGGGAAGTTCTGCTTTAAGCCTTTGTCTCACGCTCCCCATTAGGGATTGCCACCTTTGGGGAGTGTGTGGGGGGGGGGGGGGGCAGGTACCCGAATTTGACAGGTACCCGCTTCCACTTCTGCTGCAATCACCTAGGCCAGGGGTGGGCAACTGTGGCCCTCCAGCTGTTGGTGTACTACAAGTTCCATCATGCCTCTGCATTTGGGAGTCATGCTTTTAACTGTCAGTTTTTCAATGCCTCATGGGACTTGTAGTTCTACAAACATCTGGAGGGCCACAGTTGCCCACCCCTGGCCTAGGTGATTAGAAGCGGAAGTTATCTCCCCCCCCCCCCCCCCCTTTCCCAGAGTCTTCTGGGACACGTGACAGATCCCAGAAGACTATGGGGCCATTCACAAAGCGCAGCGCTTTTTGCGTATGCGCAGTGAGCACCTGGCTGTGGGGGGCCGCAAGCTGTCACAGCCGAGTGCCAACACTGAAGATGCCGGGCAGAGAAGTCAGCCAGTGAAACTAGCTGTGGTGAGGACACTGCTGGACCGAGGGACAGGTAAGTGTCTGTATTTTAAAAGTCAGCAACTACAATTATTGTAGCTGCTGACTTTTTTTTTCAGCTGGAACTCCGCTTTAAGGTAAAAAAAAAAAACCTTTAGCCTTTACAACCACTTTTAACAGCTCCCTTATATGAATTTCCTATGTGTATTTAGCTGTGTTGCCTGGGCTTCCCTGGTTCACACTGGATTTGATTTTGAAATCGTGCAACTTCACTTGAAGTCGTGCGATTTCAAAGTCGGATGGCAGTGCGACTTTGGGTGCGATTTCATAAACATCTGTGCAACTTCATGCACAGACTTTGCCTATGCAAGTCACACCCAAAATTAACAGAAGTAGTGCAGTACTCACTATGAAATCAGAGTTGCACCGATTAGAACAGTTCCATTGCCGATCATTGGATATGATTTGACTTATCGCATCAGTGTAAACCAGGGCTAAAATGCAGGTGTAGTAAATGAATTAAAATGTCCTTGCAACTTTATAAGTTAAATACCTGGGAATGTTTATACCAGAATGTATAAGCAGAATGTCCATTAGTGCATTTCCCCATAGCAACCTTTCTACAGCTACCCCCAGTGGCTAGGCATTTGCAGAAGGAAGGCTACAGGGTTCTGCAGTTGATGTGGATTGTCATAAATGTAGCATACCCCAATAAGAAGAGTTAGAGATTGTAGCAGGTTGTTATTACAGCAAAAGCTTGCTTGATTAGCCTAAACTGTTAGCCAAGGTAAAGGTCTGTCCAATTTTAAGCGTTACATATTTCCTATTAGATAACTAAGCAGAAACATCACATCACATTCTTTAGCAAAACACTGATTGGGAACACAAACTGGGACAAACTATACAAGTGTATCAATTTGTGATTCTCACAGTATAACATATTAATAACAGAAATACTACAGTAGGTAATGGCTGTTGTTTCTAGGATCAATCAGGGATTTTTTTTATACAAGGCAGTCTCTGATTGGACATGGGTAGATTGGGGTAGATTCACAAAAGCTGGTGCACTCAGAATCTGGTGCAGTTGTGCATGGTAGCCAATCAGTTTTTAACTTCAGCTTGTTCAATTCAGCTTTGGCAATAAAACCTGGAAGCTGATTGGTTTCTATGCAAAGTTGCACCAGATTTTGCACGTTCCTGTTTTCGTAAATAAACCCAATTGCAACATCATCCTCCCGCATGCCTTCCACTCAGAGAACGCCTTGTATTACTTGAAAAAAAAACACATGACGTCTTCTGAATGGTGGTAGTACAAAACAATAGAGAAGCTGTGTTCAGTATGCGGAGGGGAAGCCACTTGAGTCAGAAGATCCCAGCTATCACTGTATTTAGCATGGGCTACTACAGGGGTTTTCAGCTACCCTCCAGAAATAAGATATGTATAGTTACATTGTACCAAGCTGGACCAAGTTAGAAAATATTATAATTACTGGAGTTCTGCTTAAAAATACACTAATGCAACTACTACATCTAAGTGGGGCAGCACAGTGGCTAAGTGGTTAGCACTTCCACCTGGCAGCACTAGGGGAGTTGGTCCAAATCCGAACTACCTGCCTGGAGTTTGCATGTTCTCCCTGTGTCTGTGTGGGTTTCCTGCAGGTACTCCAATTTCCTCCCAGTCTAAAGTGGTCCTAGCATGTGAATGTATGAATGTGAGTTACGCACCTTAGATTTGAAGGCAGGGACTGACGTGAAGGTATTTTACATATGTAAAGTGTTGCGTAAATTGTTGGCACTATATAATTACTTGTCATAAATGAGTAAGCTGCAATATATAACAATTTTGTTTTTAAGTTTAATTACACTTTAAAGGAACCCTTTGCAAAGAGATAAATAGAAGCTGTAATTGCTGATATCCTTGAAAATGTTAATTGCTGATATCCTTGAAAATGCTAATTGCTGATATCCTTGAAAAAGATGGAAAAGCTGTCCATCTTTGAGAAACAAACCCAGGTAAAGGCATGCAGCTAAGGACTTCAGATGTTCTTTGACTTTCCTCAAATGCTTACTTATTCCATTTCAGTGGCTCAGGAAGAACTGACGCCAAGGAATCAGCTTACGAGCCATGTAACTAGCATTTTTAGAAGGAAATCAGCCATGGTTGAATAAATATTTCTCTTAAGAAATATACCCTTTATTATTATAACATTCTGTTTTCCTACAATGACTAATACTTCTGCCATAGGAAACTTTGAAGGTAGGTCTCCAGCATAGATCACATACAAAACTGTGTGGAGCAATCAGGCAAGGTTTGCTCAGAAATACTATTTCCCCGTCCACTTAACAAGGAGAACAAACCAGCCAGAGTGGCAGGTTGCAAGCTTCAGTGGGATCATAATGTCAACATTTACTTAGTCTACTGCGCTACCTTCAGCACACAAAGAGAGCAGTGAACCATACCAGCCTCAAACTAAATTAGCATCCAAGAAGTGTGCTCTGTTTTGTAAATTGTGAAAAACTACTTGTCACCTAACATTTTCAGCTATAAGACGCCGTTTGGCCTGCCATAACAGTGATAAGGCAATTTATTCTCCTGTGATTTGCACGCAATCAATTTGTATCCAGCATGTGCTAAAAGGTGATTGCTTTGCACTGTATAAGGTCTTAAGCTAATGTTATCTTTATGCCCGTGTCTTCTAATACACAGATCGTACATCCATTAAATACTCACATCTGTTTAGTACTTCTTATACATTTAAAGTTGATCTTTATGGAACAAAAAGTTTGTTTAGGGTGATATTAAAGCTTATGTGAAGAGACTAAATAGCACACTGTGATATTTAAAAACATTGCTATTTGTCGAACAGTAGTCTATTTTCTTAACCTCCCTGGCGGTATGATTATTTCAGATTATTGGTGCTGAAAGCGGTACATTATTTTGCATGGAAATATGTCGTTTTTTTTATTGTAGGCCTGTAATTTTTAGGAATAACTCACTGAAATCTGTCCAAACAAGAGTCTAGTAAAAATTCCGGATAGGATAAAACTTGAAACACGAAATCATAAATTATAATTTAATAAATAATCATAAAAAATAATGATATAATATGAATAAATTGAATTCAATAATATAATCAAACCAAAAACATTGAAATTTGAAATAGAGCGCCAAGTTCGCACATCGCTGAGCAAAGTCGCAGAATTGTTTTCAGTGTCTGATGACGAATTTCCCCCACGAATCATTATCACTCAATTCTGCAAGTGGTTCTGATTTACTATCGCTGTTCTCTAGCTGGTCTAAAACCGATTTTGACCTAAAGGGACGCTTTTTGGATGCCATGGACATTTCCCAATTTCCAGGCAGAAAGAACAGTCAAAATGCAGGCAGGGCACAGGACAAAGTAGTAGGGACAAAATGTATGTGAAATGCTTTTAAAGAGCAATGTTTTGCTATGTAATATTCGTTTTAAAAAAAAATGAAATTTTTTAAAACTTTCAAATTTGCCGCCGGTTTCGGCGCCCGTATGTCCCGACGTCACAGGGACCGGAACACGGAAGCTGGATGCCGGCATCGGCCAAAGGAGATGGCCGGGGATGCTGCAGGGGACACATCGTGGGAGCTAAGGACAAGGTAAGCGCTGCAGGGAACCCCTGAGCAACGCCGCATGGTAAGCCAGAGTGTAGCTCGGGGTTACCGCTTTTGGTACTGAAACTTTACCCCGAGCTACACTCGGGAATACCGCCAGGGAGGTTAAACCCCCCCCCCCAAAAAAAAAAAACAGGTCTTTGACTTTTATTTAGCATTCACATGACCACACGGCTTCCTCACCCTCTATTTGATTGCTGGGGAGTGGTGGGGGGGTTGGGTACATTGAGTAAAGGCAGGCAGTAGTATGACATATAGGGCACTACATTACTATAGAATCATTTTCATTTGCTTCAGTATACTATAGGTCCCACCTGTCTCAATACTTCCTTTTGATGGCAAAGCTCCTGCTAGGATCAGACTGAACAAGGCTGGGTGGGGGATATCATCCAGGCGGACTACAGGACTATAGGCATATCGTGTGATGGCATGGCACTGTATTCTGTAGCTTCGATTAAGGGCTGAGGGAACCAAACTGACCACACCAGCACAGATCTGTTTCCATGCTTAGGTGTACGTTTAATAAATTGTGCTAATTCTTGCATTATCACAGTTCTCTTAACATTCTCTAACACAGCCAAGTTTTACTCCTGCTTAGAGGCTGTTTAACAGATGATGTAGTTTAACTCCAGGCCTGTGATAAGCGGGTGTTAGATAGCAGCGTTAGCACTGTGTTAGCCCTGGTTCACATAAACGCGGCCGTGCGTGCCGAGTTTCGCACAGGCCAAGAGCCCATTCATTTGAATGGACTCCCGTGCCCTGTGACACTCAGGGAAGAAGTCCCTGCACTTCTTCTGAAAACTCAGCCCGCACTGGAACCTCGGTTCCTAGTACGGTTGCATTTTCCAGTGCGGGCGGCTTGCCATTAGAATTAATGGCACCCGCCCGCGGGTTCGCATTTCTCTGTGCGGGTGGTGTGGCTGCACAAATTTTTGTGCGGATCCGCAGCAGCACCACCCGCACTTATGTGAACCAAGCCTTAGGAAGTGAAAGGAATTATTATTATTATTATTATACAGGATTTATACAGCACCAACAGTTTGCACAGCACAATATATAATTTACAATATAGCAGGAGGTAATACAGCAACAATACAGTTCAATACAAGAGGGTCAGGAATGTGAGGAAGGTTCAGCTAGCTACACAGCATCCATCCTGTGTGGGGAAACCTATGATCCACATTAAGGAATCAAAGGTTAATCCTCAAAATTGTTTAAAAATAAACACATGTAAAAGCACATGTACACCCTTACTAAAATTATAAAGTATATATACATATAATATATATATATATATCATATATATATTTTTTTCTAATCTACTATTCCCCTACTATCCTTCACCCTAAAGGATCATAAATTAGTCCTCAGAAATGAGTTATAGGGTTAAATTAAAACTTAAAAACACACACATTTAAAGCATATATGCCATTATTAAAATAATAAAGTATATAAGCATATAAAAGATTTTTTTATATTACCCTGCCATCCCTCCCACCCATAGCTAACTGCATTCATCTCCAAACACATTTATTTTTGTCTTTACGCTAAGTTCACACCTACGCAGGCAACCATCCGCAGCCAAAATGTGCTGCTCTTAACAGGCGCACAGGGATGCCATTGATTCTTAATGGCACCCCCATGCATCTGCAAACGCAGTGCATTTGCAGGTGCGGGAATGTGCAGTAACTTCCCTGCCACTGCATTTTAAAAAAGTTGCAGGAAGCTTTTTCCTGTATCAAATGCAGACACAGCAGCCCATTCAAAATAATGGGCTGCCATGCCAATACAAACGCGGCTCGCAGAATCGCAAAGGTGAGAATGAAGCCTTGAAGCCCATTCTGTTGTTACAAAGAACAGCACAACAGGAAGAGGCCGGTTCTCAATCAGGAGCGACTAAAAGTGAGTGAATGAGTATATTTAGTTTAGGTTCACAATAATGTGGTGAGGGAAACGCCACTATTGCATTTTTCCCACACCACATTCCAATCGCACTGCCCTTGCTATCTGCAGCGGGTGTCAGTGCAATCTTAATGACACCCCAAGCGTAGGTCACAAATGCAGTGCGTTTGCCTGCAACACAATGGAACGCTTGGTACAAAACAACCATGCTATGCAGTTGCAGTGTGGTTCCTAAATTTGTGCATACACTTCTTTGGTGCGATGTGGTACGATTTCAGCCCATTCAAAATGTATGGGCTGAAAGCGCACCACACTGAATTGCATGTGAATTACACAGGAATGCAGTGCGGTTCCTGTGCGATTCACAAGCAATTCATAGTGTGAAACCAGGCTTAGAAAGAGTACCTATCTGACCTACTTGACAGCTGCCAAGCCTCACACATGCGAAGGCTGGCCATAACTTGATCATTTGTTTGGGGGTCTCAACCAGCGAGTTGAACTAAAAAAGTGACTTGATTCCCCCATCCACACAGATCATGTGTAGGGAAGGGGGAATTCTTCCCACTGACCTATTATGCTCTGACGACAGAGAGACTTCTCTGTCAGAATACACTGATCAGTACTGCAGGCTATAGCCAGCAGGACTAAGGCTCCATTCACACACAGCGCCTGAAAAAGCGGGGCATTTTTGTGGTGATCACAGCATGTTTTTACGCTCCACAAATGTGCTGCATTTATCACGCAAAAAATCGTGCTGCAATTGTGGTAGAAACACCTACCATTTGCAGGTGCCATTGAAATGAATGGCACCTGAACACGCTAATGTGCGTTTGCATATTTTAACAGCTTGTTTTCAAATCATGGGCAGAATCATGGCGATTCCGTCCATGATATAAAATGCCTATGTGTGAATGGAGCCTAATCGATCAGGAAAAACCTGACAGGGTGGTTGTACAGAAGTTGATCTACCCCTCAATGTCTGTACAACCAGCCTGCCCATACATGCATTGAAATTCAGCTAGTCCTTGCCGAACCAGCCGAATTCAACAAGGACCAGCTGAATTAAAGCAGATTCATGCAGTAGCAAATATGCACTCTCTGTCATTGAGGTCTACCACTCTCCTGTTTCTCAGCATAGATGTCCATTCTGCACAGCCATTAATTATATAGGATATGTGAGTGCTGCAGACATAGGGTTCTACAGGAACACATACCCTGCACTGTCTGACAGTGTTGTCCCGAAGCCAGGGGCGGGCTGACCATTTGAATACTTGGGCACTGCCCAAGGGCCCGGGGTCAGTAGGGGGCCCCATGAGATGCCCCTGGTACCTTTCAATGGCTTTTTCATAGGCTTTTTTGGGTGTTGGTGAGGACACAGGGGCCCCATGATCCCCTATTGCCCGGGGGCCCCATGAGTTCTTAGTCCGCCCCTGCCCGAAGCACAGATTGACCATAATGAGCTGTATTAGCTTTGTCACTAGGTGCTACAGTGAAAGTTTGTCTTCTACACTGAAAAATGGCTTCAAAACCTGGTCTGATGTGGTGTTAAATTCAGGGGATTAACAAAGTTTACACCGGTGTTAACACTCTTGTGAGCCTAACACAGTCTATTAAACAAGTAAATTGCTATACTATCACTGTAGTTATCACAGAGACAACACATTAAAGTGAAGGGAAGAGATATTTGGTTTCTACCTTGGTTAACTCTCTATGGAATTACCACCCTGATTCGCTGTCATAAGGCTTAACACAATTTATCACCCGCTTAACACAGTTTATTAAACGTACAACTAAGTGTGGTAAGATCATTGTGTGTGTGAAAGAAAGATGTAGAAAGATGCACATGGGGGCCATCTCGCTTCATTCTGTAGAAAACTTTGGGAAAGCAGACATCTAGGTGCCACCTGGCTTTCACAGTGGCTCCTTCATTGACGCAACAGGGTTTAACAAGATTTAACAACAAACAAAATTGTGAACATTGTTTTACCACATGGCATACAGCACCTAACCTTTACTGGGACCTCGAAGCATTTGGGAAGCCAACCAAATGATTTTTGGTTTCAGGCATAACTGACTGCCATTCAGTAGCCTGGTGTTGAGTTGGCAGTTCTTCTCCCTAATCACGTGATATAGCATCCTGCAATCTTTGGTTATATTCAAAGGCCAACGAAACTCTGCCTATGAAAGTTTTTAAAAATGTGCCATGAGCACTATGAAGCTGTGGATAGTGAGTTGGACAAATTGACTGAGGATGATTTTGTGTCATGCTTTGACCATTAGATTAAAGCTCATGAAAAGTGAATCACACTAGAAGGTGACTATGTTAAAATATGTTGTGAATAAGTGTGATTTTTTTCAGAAAATGTTTTCTTCTTGAAAAGCTCAGGACTTTCTGAATACCCCTTATAAATATTTCACCACAGTGCTTGTGGTTCAACCTGCCTGGCACTGCATTGAAATGTATGCAGGCATGTGCTGCTTATGTAAATGGACCTAAAGAAAGGATCAGCTTTAGACAGGGGTGGAGATGATTCTGGCACTGGTAAAGTATATGTAAACCCTCACCTTGGAAAACAACCCATTCAATCTAAAAAAAAAAAAATAAAAGGCAAAACATTTGTGTAAACATTATATAAATATTGTTATTTCCTCTTTTTTATAAGTGTTCACATACCCTCTGTTCTCATCTGCATAAGGGGCTCAGATAGCTGTGCATGCAGGGAGTGCAACATGTCAGCCTGGCCATTACAGGAGAGCAGGCTGAATTCCCAGCACAGCTAGAAAATTGATCACACTGTGCTCTCCTGCCTAGTGTGGTCATTTTTTAATAAGAAAGCAGAAGGACTGGCAGGCACACGAGGGATTTCATGCAGAGGCAGCAATACAAGCAGGCACATATCAGGAGTATGCAATGTTGGATTTACATATTCTTTAAAGGATAACTCTGGGATAAGCAAAAACACTGATTAGTACACATCATAAACAAAACACTAAACAGTTAATAACATTTTGAAAAACCTTACCATCTAGGAGAAAAGTCTAACTGAATTTTCATGACCTCATC